AGGATGCTGACCCCTGACTTAAGCCACCAGGTAAACACAAAACAAATACAGGAAAATTATTGACAGAAAAATGGAACGGGTACTTTCAAGGCTACGGGTGAAGGTGACTGGGTATAAATATACATCAGACTGACAAAGAAAAGAGTGTTAAAAGATTTTTAATTTAGAACTTTAACTTTATGTGCAAAACTGAACTTACTGATAACACACACTAGCCATTTGAACACATGTAACTGTAATGAACCAAATAAAACAGAAAATGCAGGCAGCACTCATACTGTGTATAACACGGCATGGGGTTGTATTTTTTTCTTTTCAGATGCTCCTGTCACTCCATTTCCCAGGTCATCATAGCACTCCCACACACATGGAGCTCTCCTGCAGTATGCAGTGTAATGACCCAAACCATCAGTGGTCATCTTTCCATGGAAAGCAATTAATGCCCTCAAAGTGAACGACTTTCCTTGGAGAACCAGGTTGGAGGGAAATTCATTCAGTGGAAATTCTGTTTGGTTTGCAAGGTCAGTATCAATCCACACGATATCTCCAATGTTGTAGCTGTGAGTAACTGTCCCTGCACAGAGCTCATTTCCTGTGGTGCTGTCTTCTGTTTTGAATTCTGATGGACACAGAGATGGATTGGAGAGTGGCCTGAGGCAGGGAGACTCAGGTAGACTCAGGTAGACTCAGGTAGACTCAGGTAGACTCAGGTAGACTCAGGTAGGCCAAGTCCTGCTTCCACAGCCGTGCCAAGATGAGCCATACCAGACTCTTTGAGGACAGAGATAGCAGGAGAAACAAATGGCACTTCCCTTGTCATCCCTTTGCTGAGGTAGCAGTGCTGTGAAGAGCAGTGTTTGGTAAAATAAACACTTGAGATGTTCCTCATTGTCTTAGCAATTACAGCAGAGATATTGCACTGAGCATCGATTTGGATCGCAGCAGACCTCAACGAGACAGCTTCAAACATTACACTAAGCAGCTCTGCTCTCCTTCTGTAGGTTTGTTGGGTCACACCATCTGTGGCAATGGCTTTCACCAGCTGCAGGACTGGGTTTTCACTGTCTTTCAGAACAGCATTTTGAAATGTGGAGCTGTCACAGAAGGCACAACATAAGCACTGAAAAAATGCATCAAATGCACAGGTATTGAGCACAGAGATTGTCGATTCCCCTAATCGAATAGGCTGATGGAGGTTTCCATTTTTTAATAATCCCACTTTCACTCTTTTGGCCCCAAAAGTTTCATCTGCATGGAGCCATTCGGTACATGAAGAGAGGTAGGAAGTCATCTTTCTTTTTTTGGGTGGAACAGCTAGGCCCCTCCAGTTCTCAACTGCATCCCCATCAGCCGGAAGAATGTTTGTGGCAGCATCAGATCCCACAAACGGGTGAGCATCCATTTTTATTTTGTCTTCTGCATTGTGAGTCGTCATGGATCCAGAATTGGCATCTGTGACTTTCAGTGATCCCACTGTTGGCTCATCTTTGACCTTTTCTTTTGCAGAACAAATCCGCATATTTCCCTCGATGAAGGAAAGATGACGAGCAATGAAGCAATTGACTCGAAGAGGCAAGTTGTCATGTTTGAAAAGGCCATGTTTTATGTTTTTGAACTCAGCTTCAACAGTGGCTGAACTTGCTGTGATGCTGGCGCTTTGGAAGAGAGGGACCATTATTCCTGTCCAGAGTGGCAAGTAACTTGCCAGTCTTATTATATGAGGAATAATCTCAGGGAGAAAGTGAATATTATCTCTATCCCCGTTTGCTGCAGCAGGTGACCTGCTCTCCTCACATATTTCTGTTACCCACTGTCGTAGGTCAGTCTGGATCTCATCCACTGAATCCACTCACTCACTTTCCTCCGTATGTTCATCTGGAATGATGATGGAGTCTTGAGCAATTTGGGCTTTCAAGTATTTCTTACACCTTTCTGAAGGAAGAGGGGCTCCAGAACTGTCATCACCTTCTGCCTCACTGAGGGCCACAACAGTGATAGCATGTAGGAGCTGTTTTGCATGGTCCAAACATTGAGACTGAAGAAGTTTTGCTAATGACCTGACAAAGAAATCTTTAACACGATGTGTTTTCTTCTTCAGCCAGTCCCACTGGCATATCATCTTGATGCAGTGCGCAACATCAACCCTGATATAACAAGGGGGAGTTTGGCAGACTGGGTTCCAAGAAGGGCATGAAAGCATTCATTAAGGTAGGACTTCAGATCAGGATGAGGAGTGAAAGCCTTGACCAGAGCTCCCAGAATTGCCAGAGAAAAGTCACTCACAGCTTCCTTTGGCACAGGTGCACCTGCACGAATCCATTCTGTCAACCAGTTTGCGATGGCATTAACATCATGTTTCTCTGACAGCATTTGCACCACTGGGACACTGGGGCAATTGTTTTCTTTCAGAATACCTTGATAAAGGAAGATATGGCCAGATTTGACATTTGGTCTCAGCAGTTTTTTCACAACTGAACCAGTTGCATCAAAACACACAGTTGGGGGAGATTTTTTTGACAATGTCTTATAAACATGCATCTGTGTTTGACTCCAGTAGTGACAGAAAAACCTGTCCAGTCCAATATCTCGGATGCTACCACTGTGAGGAACACTATATTTTAACAATTGCAGAGATGCAATGGGGTCCTTATCTCCTAATTACAAGTCTTTTCTCTCTTGTTTGGCTTTTCGCAGAGTGGCCAAATTTGTAAGGTGGCTTGGCTCAGGATCTCCAACATCCATCAGATCTGCTGCCCTCGCTGACCTCCATACAGCCGGTTCCATTCTGCCCTCACACAGCTCTTTAGCGATCTGTTCACGCAGGTTTCCAGACATGAACCGCTTGGAGTGGCCAGTGTGCAGGGAGAAATCTGTATTTCTCATGAAACACTGGAGCACCATTGGACTATTAATTGCTGGCTGTCTGTCACATGACATTTCTAACTGGCCATGACACTCCTTACAGTCGCCTCTGATGTCCAGATATTTATTGTTGACAGTTGGATGGACCTTTGCTCTACGGAACACAAGTGTACATGTATTTTTGATCTTCTTCCATATAAGATCGTTGATGATATGAGTCCAAGTGCCAGGTTTCAAAATTGTGTATTCCCTTTTTTGGGTAGGAGAAAACTTGTCATTGTATTCAACCTTTTCAGGAGTAAATTTAACCCAGTCCTCAAAAGGGACTTCTAGTTCAAAAGCTTGACAGTTTTCTTGTCCAGGAGAAATGCAATGTGAATCTAATTCTCCTTCACTATTACTTTCCTGATCACTGATTTCCAAAGCTGACCAGATGTTGTGTCTATTTAGCTTCACAAAAGTGTACAGGGCCTTTGCTGACATCTTGTCTTCTAGCTGCTGACTCAGCTCTTTCCAGGCTGATGCAGCTGGAGTGGCTATTTTGCCATTTTGGACTATGGCCTCTTTTGAATTGCAAAGAACTGCAAAAATGGAAACCTTGTCTACAGATGGCTTTTGAGACATCTAAAAAAAAAAACACACTGATTATGATGGAGCAAAATGTGATTTCTGAACTATATATACAGCCAGGAGCAACCCCTCCCCCAAGTTCTCCACCAATCTACACTTTCATATTTTGTGGAATTATTGTTTTTAAGATGGAGCTATTGAATTTGTGAGTTTATTAAATTGAGTCTGAGTATTTAACCCATGTACTGTACAGCACTTTAGTCCAGTGTGCTACATGTTTTAAAGTGCTTTAGAAACTTTTTTCTTGGACATTTTTGAAAATGTTTAACATTGAAAAAAAAATCCTTTTGATCCAGACAGTTAGCTATATCATGTATTAACTCAGTAACTAAAACCTCAGTATTTTAAATGTAAGCTTACCTTGTTCAGAAATCAGATGAACGCTGTTCTAAGAATCCTTCAGACACAGTAATGCCAAATAATAGTTTTTTCTGCCAGAAAATGTGTATTTGATGCAAAAGACTGCTAGCTTGTTCGTTTCTCAAAAAGTGTTCATGGGAGTGTAAAATGTTCAAATGTAGTTTTCAATAAAGTTTTTTTAATCCACTCTAAAAAAAAAAAAAATACTCAAGCATTTGCATCGTGGTTTTATGAACAAAAAGTGATTGAAGTAAAGAAATTGAAGTTAAAAAAAAATACACTCATTACAAATTTAGCTAATTAAATACAACAAGAGGGTTTTTTTTAACAGAACTTTATTGAACAAGTGAACACACAAAGTGAAAGGTCATTTGAAAAAGACATTTTTCAGCAGTAAACCATAACAGGATATTGAAGGAAACTGTTTCCAGGGCCTACTCCGTGGATCGGCTTCCTCCGAGGCGTGGACGTCTATCAGCAGAGAATGTACCTTCACCTATCAGCAGAGAATGTCCCTTAGTCTGTAACACAGTCAAATATATTCTCAAGTAATATTCAAGCATGCCATTCAGCGTGTTAGTACGAGCTCGGGAGCAGCTTGGGAGAACAAGAAAACAGAGACTGCTTTAGATTGTCTTCCCAAAGTGACTCAACTTTATTCACAAGTACAACAGTTTATATAGAGGGTAAAATTCATGAGACAGCAGATTATCAGTTTAAACCAGTACAGACCAAGATAAGGCAGCGTCTTCCTGCCCTTGGGTGAAGAAGCATCCTTTGTGTAGTTTATTAGTTCAGCTACAATTGTGATTATCTCAGCGACATATTTTCAAGGCACAAAACGAAGAGTTCTTACATTAGTGAAATCTGAAACAAACCATTTGGCCTTCAACAGGCGTCTCCTAAAAGATTAAGAAACTAATGTAGCTGAGGGAGTGATCTCTGTGGTATTTCAACCTTGTACCAGCCTGTGATTCTCACACATCAATTCTTGGGTCAAAGAGAAAAATAACTAAAACAAAGGGGCCTTATTGAATGACAGAGTTTTCCTGCATAATGTCACTATAAAACAATATCCAGTAAATGCTCCCATGGTACTAAAATACCTAACAGTTCCACTCTTTTTTTATTATTATTTTTAAAAAAAAATAATAACTCAAATAGAAAGGAAAAATCACAAATGTAATAATATAATATAAAAAGCAAATCATAAAATGTAATAGTTCACAACCTAATGTTCAACATACACATCAGGAACATCATTGGTAACATCTGGCACATCCTCAGGATCAATTTGTGCTAATTGCAAATACATTGAAGTAGCTGTACTAGGTGGGTGTCTTGCCAAGTGGAGCATGAGGTATTGTCAGCAAAATGTGGCTTGCAGAAATGTGAACAGGGTTGCACTTTACAATACGAAATAGTAAATAAAAATCCTAAGGTTAATGCAGTAGATATGATTAATAACCTAAATATATAAAAAAGACAGTTCTTTAGTCGTCTCCTGGCCTGGTCCCAAGTTCGAGAGACACCGTATAAGCGTCGTGTGATGACAATGGGCATTTCATTTTCTCCATTATCAGGATGGAATGAGTCTATCTTTATCAGGTTAGACATTGTGTGGTACTCTAGGCTTTCTGTTCCTGCTGGATGTTCGAGTACCTTGTTGTTGTTCAGGCGGGGGATCAGAGGGCTTTCTGAGTCTTGGCTCTTTCAGGCGTTGTGTGTTAATCAGTGATTGTGTGTGTGTAGGTGGATTGGATCCGGGCGCTGGCTCGCCTGAGTCGTCATCTATAGGTGTATTGAATCCGGGCGCTGGCTCGCCTGAGTCGTCATCTACTTGATCCGACGCCTTAGGTGGTTTGGTGGGGCTGGTCTTAACCCTGCTGGCATGAATCCACTGAGGTTGTCCGTCTGTTAGGATGCTGGTTCTCGTCACTGCAAGTACAGTCTGGGGGCTGGAACACGCGGCCTCCCCGAGTGCCCTTGGTTTTAGCGACTTTACCAACACCGCATCTCCTGGTTTCCACGGATGGGTTGGATCTATGGAAGGGAGAGGCTGAGAGAGACAAACTTTCTGATAGTTATTATTCAGTGTTTCTACCAGGTTATGAACATAGTCAGACAATGCAGTGTCTATGTCCCCTTCCAATAGCGGTGCCCCTCTGGAGGCTGACCATGGTGTTGGAAACGGTCTTCCCATGATTATTTCAAATGGAGATAATTTGGTTGCTGCGGATGGAGTCATTCTAATCTCGCAGAGGATTTGAGGAAGTAGTTTGATCCAGGTCATTCCTGTTTCTATCATTGCTTTAGTCAGGCGATTTTTTATGGTCCTATTCATTCTTTCTACAACTCCTGAACTCTGAGGATGGTATGGCACATGATATTTCCAGTCTATTGCTAGAGTTTTAGCACACTTTTGAATTACTTCTGATGTGAATGAAGGTCCTCTATCACTGTTAATTTGGTGAGGTATTCCAAATCTGGGTATTATTTCATTGCACAACTTTTGACAGACTACTTCTGCAGTTTCTTTTGATGTTGGGTAAGCTTCTACCCATTTACTAAATTGGTCCACTATTACCAGTAAGTACTTGATGCTTCCTTGTGCTGGCATGTGTGTAAAATCAATTTGTAATGTATGAAATGGGAAATCTGGTTGTGGTAAATGCTGATGTTTTGCTTTTGGTTTTCCTACATTAGTTCGTGCACATGTTAGACAGGTTGCTAATATGCGTTTTACTGCGTGTGATGTTTTCTTGATTACAAATCTTGATTTTATTGCTCCTATTACCCCTCTTTGTCCGACATGACTCACACCGTGAAAATGGCGGACAAGGATTGGCAGTAGTGAAGATGGGAGGGCAATCAAACCCTCAAGGTTTTTGTATAAGCCGTCTCTGTTATCTAAGGTACAATCATTACTTTCCCAGTAAGTGTAATCTAAGGCAGAGGCTTGCTCTTGTATGAATTTTAGGTCAACATTTGTTTCTAAATAGTCTGGGAGCGTGACAAGTGGCAGCTGTAAAGGCAAAGATAATACTTCCCTTCTGGGTGGTTGCTGTGAGGCAGCAGCTGCTTTCGCGGTTACGTCTGCAAGAGCATTTCCCACTGCTTCGTCTGTGTCAGCCGTGCTGTGCCCCTTCGTTTTAACAACTGCAATTGCCGATGGCAGCTGTATAGCCTGCAAAAGTCTTAGAACAAGGTCAGAATTAGCGATCGATTTTCCATCAGCAGATCTAAATCCTCTTTGTCTCCACAATGTGCCAAAGTCATGCACCACACCGAATGCATAACGGCTATCAGTGTAAATTGTTACATGCTTATCCAAATTTAGCTCACAGGCGCGTATTAAAGCCATGAGCTCTGCTTTTTGTGCTGAGTGAAATGGTAATGAGTGAGCCTCTAGTATGATGTCAGGCAATGTCACCACCGAATAGCCACAAAGAAATGAGTTGTCATTTGGTTTTGAACAGGACCCGTCCACATAAACAATGACTGAGTCTGGTATTGGTGTCTGCTCTAAGTCTGGGCGTGGTGCTGTGGATTCCTGTATACGTGTCATACAATCATGATCGTCAGGGTCGTCTGAACCATCCTGTCGGTCAGAAGAACACAGCATACGAATAAGTAAGTGTGCTGGCGAATTGGGTGTGCTGCTTGCTTTTATAGTGAGATTTGCTGTTGAAGTCAGTGTAGCTTCATAACCTGAGTGACGTTGTGCGGTCATGTGTTGTGTAGTTATGTTTGCTAGAATGGTCGTGACCTGGTGATTGGTGTGTAGAATAGTGTCATGTGAGAGTGTGAGCTTCTCGCAGTCCCTTATCATGATAGAGCAAGCTGCTACTGCCCTCAGGCAGGCCGGCATCCCCTGAACTACTGCTGGCAGCACCTTTGAGTAGAAGGCTACTGGACGGTAGCCACAGCCATGCTCTTGGGCCAATACACCTGCACAGGTTGTGCCGTTCTCTGTGACGTACAGGTGGAACGGTAAGTGGTAGTCAGGCAGACCCAAACAAGGGGCGGAGGTCAGCGCTCCCTGTAATGCATTGAAAGAGGCAGTCATTTCTGTGGACCACAGTATTCGAGGAGGCTTGTCTTTTTTGCAGCATTCACGCAGAATGTGGTCATGAAAAGAACAGTCTGGTATCCACTGTCTGCAATAGTTCACCATGCCTAGGAAAGACAGCATTTCCTTCTGTGTAGTGGGCTTAGGGACAGAGGTCACAGCTTTGACCCTGTCTGTAGTCATGGAACGTTGTCCGTGAGACAGTGTAAATCCCAAATATTGAACAGAAGTCTGACAGTACTGCATTTTCTTTGCTGATGCTTTGTGGCCAGTCTGTTGGAGATGCTGGAGTAGCATGTGTGTGGCAGTTTGACATAGTTTTTCACTTTCAGCACAGAGGAGGAGATCATCTACATACTGGATCAGAGTACAGCCCTCTGGAGGAGTGAAGCCGTCCAGGGTAGCACGTACTACCATTGAGAAAGCCGCAGGGCTGTCTACCATGCCTTGGGGTAAGCGAGTCCATGTGTACTGCTTATCTCTATGTGTAAAAGCAAATATCGGCTGTGTGTCTTTATGCACAGGCACTGAGAAAAAGGCGGAGCACAAATCCACCACAGTAAAATGTGTAGCTGTTGCTGGAATAGATGTCAGTATGCTGGGAACATCTGGGACAAGAGGTGGCAGAGGCATGATGACTGCATTAATTTGCCTTAAGTCTTGTGTGAAACGCCATACGCCAGGTTTGTTAGGCTTTGGCACAGGATTGACAGGAGTGTTATATGGAGATACTGTGGGCTTTATTACTCCAGCTGTCAATAAATCTCCTATGATGATGTCTAAGGCTGCGGCTTTTTCAGCGGAAATGGGATATTGCTTGACATATACCGGCTTGTTGTTTTTCAGCTGAGCATGATAAGGTGTACAGTCAATAAATCCTACATCATTCTCACCTCTTGACCATAATGTCATGTTTTGATATTCAGCTGGCAATGTGACAGCAGAGATAGTACAGTGTATGGGGTAGGTTAGATCTAGGTGTTGACATGGTGCAGTGATGTCATAGCCTATGTCTGAGTTATGTGACAAAACCACTGTTTGGCCTTCACTGGTGTGAGCAGTTATCATGTTGTTGAACAGTGTGAGAGAAACAAATATGTGGCTTCCAGGCATGGGGCTACCTGGTAACGGTGTCTGTACACGTGTTTGGCACAGTGTGTGACGTGGGGTACCAGTCAGATGGATATTGAGTTCATTCTCTGCTGAGGCGTCCAGCTGACACAGAGGCTGTTCCTTCTCCATGGTGTCGGTGCATAGGGCAGAGAAAACATAGCTGTTATCAGTATCTGCAAACATTTCACCCTTTGTGTTAAATGAAATACACAAGTTCATTTTTGCCATTAAATCTCTGCCTAATAGATTCACAGGCGAGTTTGGAATAATTATGAATGGATGATATGTAATTTCATCTGGTTTTGGGCCCCAGCGTGTTTTTAGAGAATGAGTTTTGGGGCATTGCACTAGAGTTCCGTTTATTCCCATGGTGTTGATGCACACAGAGGAAACAGGCCCACTATAGAATTTTCCAGACAGTGAACTTTTAGTGGCTCCACTGTCAACTAAAAAGGAATAAATCTTTTCACCTATTTCTATATCTAACGTGGGCAAGCTTTCTGTGTTACGGGACAATTGCAAATGCAGCATCGTGTGTAGTGCTTCACACTGTCCCTCGTCTTCACCTGGGCCTCCCTATTGTCGGTCCAGTCTTTCGTTATCATATGGGTGGGGATTAAAATGTGGATTATAAGGTTGCTGCCTAAGTGCAAAGGGGCCATTATTTTGATGTGATTCCTGTCTGCGTTGCCAGTTACCTTGTCTGTAAGAGCTCTGCTTACGCCTAGTGGCAGGAGCTGGTCCTGTGTTCTGTGGTTGAGATCTACCTGCTGCTGATTTGCATTCCGTCCTCCAGTGTCCTATTTTTCCACAATAAAAACATGCGTCTCCACTCCTATCTCTCCTTCTGAAATCTCCCTGCTGCGCTTGTTGAGGGGACGGGGCCCCTGCATACATCATTTTTTCACTTTCCTCTGAGCCTTCAACATCAAAGTTCAACAACATCTTAACACTTTTAGCCTTCGTGCTGTTGGGGAAAAGATCTGCACCAGCTTTTGGTTTGACAAGTGTGATAAAGTTCTTTATTTTCATGTCATAGAGATTATCAGTGGCAGTCAGCTTCAATAGTTGTGAACATTCTGGATGAATATTGTTTAAGAATGTTGTTATGAAAATCTGATCATTTCCTCCTTCAGGCATGCATGCCTCATTAGTCCAGCAGTGTGTGAAACGTTTCATAAACACTAGAATGGATTCATCTGGCTTTTGCTTACACATGGTTACTGCATTTAAATCAATTTTATCTCTAGACATTGTGAGCAGAAATCTCTTTAGATTTTGAAAAAAGGCTGTGATTTTGTCATCATTTATCCACAAAAACGAGGTGGTGTTGGCTGCTTGGTCGTTTTTAGGGTGTAGTTCCTCTACTTCTTCAATAAGCTGAGATTCAGTCACACCTGGGATTCGTTGACATAATATATATCTATAGTCAGGCCCACCCAAGTGGTGGTATCTGGTACTTCTCTAATGCAGAAACAAAGGCTGTAGGATTTTGTAGAGGATCGGGAAGTTCTTTAATGGTTGCTGCTAACTCTGAAATTTTAGGGGGTTGAATGCAACACATGTCCCCTATTATCATGAACGGGAGGGAGGTGCTGACGTCATTAAATTGTGATCCCTGCTTTTCTTTATAACGGGTGTTTTTGTGGGGCCCTCTTGAGTTTTTTCCTCTTTTTTCTGCTTTAAGTAGTTCCTTATTAAATTTCTGGTGTTAGTTATTGCTTTTGGCACAGTTAAACCATTCGCTACTCTAGTGTGGCGCTGAACATGATTATCTATGACAGAAACGGCTTCCTGCAGTTCGGCTTCCGTACGTTCAGTTAAAGGATCTTTCATGATTTCCTCACACTCTGTCATTAACTGTTTTGTTTGCTTTTTATGTTCCTGTAACTCTCTTTCTCGTTCAGTGTATTCTCGTTCCTGTCTTTGATCTAGGTTAAACCAGTCATCTTCTTCTGATTTAGGTGTCATTTCAGTGCCTTCCTCACTCTTTTGGGATTCTGCTGTTAAATCAGGATATACGCGCTGATGATGTGCAGCCGCAGCAGCAGCTATTAATTCTGTTTTTTCATCATAAGGCGGCGGAGCCGTAGGTTGAACGGATGGGCATATAAGGCTAGTTTTTTCTGCAGTGGATTTACTAGAGCCTACACTGGCTTGATTTAAAGCATTTACGTCTGGCTCGGGTCCTTTTTTCCATAGTGGTAGCATGCGATTGGTCACATCACGACATTCTATCATATATTTTTTACAGGACTTTTTAATCAGCCTACTTTTCTTATCACAAATAGTATTTAACATTTCTACTGACCTGTTTTCTGGCGATAATCGTTCGGGATAGGGCTCCGGAAATACATTAGGATGCATTAAAGTTATAGTTCTTAAGTTCGAGACGAAATCAGTCACGTAAGCACTTCCGCATGTTCTGGATACGTAATCATGGAAGTCTTCATTGATTCGCGAGCGTGGGTTAAACGTAACCGGAAGTGGGAGTCGTACTGAGCCGCTATTTGTGATTTTATATTTTATTTTTTTCGGTTTTACAGTTAATTTTGAGTTTTTATCGGACCCGTCTAAGGTCTTTGAATTATTCTGACCCATGGTCAGTGATTTCCAGAGGGGTTTAGACGCTTTGAAGGATTTAAGTTAGTATCTATTTTTGCTGTGGCACACCTGAGGTTACTTGATTTTTTGCTAGCAATTTTATGTTTTTAGTGAGCAACTTCTCACTTTTTAACGAGCAACTTCTCGTTTTATGACCCCAGGCAACTTCCTGTGTCCTTTCTGCTGGTGAGCAACTTCTTAGTTTATGACAGCAGGCAACTTCCTGTGTCCTTTCTGCTTTTATTTTACAAAACAACAGGCAACTTTCTGTGTTTCTATGTGGGCCACTAAATAAGGCTCCTCAGTGTATCCCACTTGTTACTATGTGGGCCACTGAAGAAGGCCTCGTCAGCGTATCCCGTTTCTATGTGGATCACTGAGAAAGGCATAACACAGTCTTATAAAATAAAAGACGAGTGCCTACCTTCGTCAGGATCCCACTTCTCGACACCAAAATTGAAGGAAACTGTTTCCAGGGCCTACTCCGTGGATCGGCTTCCTCCGAGGCGTGGACGTCTATCAGCAGAGAATGTACCTTCACCTATCAGCAGAGAATGTCCCTTAGTCTGTAACACAGTCAAATATATTCTCAAGTAATATTCAAGCATGCCATTCAGCGTGTTAGTACGAGCTCGGGAGCAGCTTGGGAGAACAAGAAAACAGAGACTGCTTTAGATTGTCTTCCCAAAGTGACTCAACTTTATTCACAAGTACAACAGTTTATATAGAGGGTAAAATTCATGAGACAGCAGATTATCAGTTTAAACCAGTACAGACCAAGATAAGGCAGCGTCTTCCTGCCCTTGGGTGAAGAAGCATCCTTTGTGTAGTTTATTAGTTCAGCTACAATTGTGATTATCTCAGCGACATATTTTCAAGGCACAAAACGAAGAGTTCTTACATTAGTGAAATCTGAAACAAACCATTTGGCCTTCAACAGGCGTCTAAAAGATTAAGAAACTAATGTAGCTGAGGGAGTGATCTCTGTGGTATTTCAACCTTGTACCAGCCTGTGATTCTCACACATCAATTCTTGGGTCAAAGAGAAAAATAACTAAAACAAAGGGGCCTTATTGAATGACAGAGTTTTCCTGCATAATGTCACTATAAAACAATATCCAGTAAATGCTCCCATGGTACTAAAATACCTAACAGATATCTCAAATCATAGCAGCACAAACGCTAATTTTACCTGCACAAATCTGCACAAACGTAGCACTAACCGCTCCGCCTATTTGCCTTTACGTTTCTAGTGGGTGGGGGGGTCAGCGTCACCCTGCTTTTCTACAGTCATTGGTCAGCATATGCAAGTACATGCGGGTCGGAATCCCCGCCCCCCCCAGCGCGCCCCCGTACGCCAAAACAGTGCCAGCAGAGTGAAACCGAAAAGTGGATTGAAACTGAAAAAAAAAATTGTAAGCGAAAACAAAAAAATTACAGTTTCAATTAATAGTTTTTCACTATCAAATTTTTTTTCCCGGTTTCAATACAAGCTTTTTCAGTACATTTATTTCAGTTACAATATTTTTTTTCGGTTTCAATATTTTTTTCGGTTTCGTTTCAAGGTGGCATCGTTCTGATTACATACATGGTTTGATAATCATGTGGGCTACATACCAGTGGATACCTAAACGTAAAGGTGTGTCAGTTGCAGAATACCCATGTGAAGTCCTGTATAATGTAAATACACACGAATGCGCGTTATGTTATTATTGGACAATAGCATGTCAAAATGCTCCCTAACTGCTGATATTTTTGACCGTTGTGGTGGCTCCATACAGGGAGTGCAGAATTATTAGGCAAATGAGTATTTTGTCCACATCATCCTCTTCATGCATGTTGTCTTACTCCAAGCTGTATAGGCTCGAAAGCCTACTACCAATTAAGCATATTAGGTGATGTGCATCTCTGTAATGAGAAGGGGTGTGGTCTAATGACATCAACACCCTATATCAGGTGTGCATAATTATTAGGCAACGTCCTTTCCTTTGGCAAAATGGGTCAAAAGAAGGACTTGACAGGCTCAGAAAAGTCAAAAATAGTGAGATATCTTGCAGAGGGATGCAGCAGTCTCAAAATTGCAAAGCTTCTGAAGCGTGATCATCGAACAATCAAGCGTTTCATTCAAAATAGTCAACAGGGTCGCAAGAAGCGTGTGGAAAAACCAAGGCGCAAAATAACTGCCCATGAACTGAGAAAAGTCAAGCGTGCAGCTGCCAAGATGCCACTTGCCACCAGTTTGGCCATATTTCAGAGCTGCAACATCACTGGAGTGCCCAAAAGCACAAGGTGTGCAATACTCAGAGACATGGCCAAGGTAAGAAAGGCTGAAAGACGACCACCACTGAACAAGACACACAAGCTGAAACGTCAAGACTGGGCCAAGAAATATCTCAAGACTGGTTTTTCTAAGGTTTTATGGACTGATGAAATGAGAGTGAGTCTTGATGGGCCAGATGGATGGGCCCGTGGCTGGATTGGTAAAGGGCAGAGAGCTCCAGTCCCACTCAGACGCCAGCAAGGTGGAGGTGGAGTACTGGTTTGGGCTGGTATCATCAAAGATGAGCTTGTGGGGCCTTTTCGGGTTGAGGATGGAGTCAAGCTCAACTCCCAGTCCTACTGCCAGTTTCTGGAAGACACCTTCTTCAAGCAGTGGTACAGGAAGAAGTCTGCATCCTTCAAGAAAAACATGATTTTCATGCAGGACAATGCTCCATCACACGCGTCCAAGTACTCCACAGCGTGGCTGCAAGAAAGGGTATAAAAGAAGAAAAACTAATGACATGGCCTCCTTGTTCACCTGATCTGAACCCCATTGAGAACCTGTGGTCCATCATCAAATGTGAGATTTACAAGGAGGGAAAACAGTACACCTCTCTGAACAGTGTCTGGGAGGCTGTGGTTGCTGCTGCACGCAATGTTGATGGTGAACAGATCAAAACACTGACAGAATCCATGGATGGCAGGCTTTTGAGTGTCCTTGCAAAGAAAGGTGGCTATATTGGTCGCTGATTTGTTTTTGTTTTGTTTTTGAATGTCAGAGATGTAAATTTGTGAATGTGGAGATGTTATATTGGTTTCACTGGTAAAAAATAAATAATTGAAATGGGTATATATTTGTTTTTTGTTAAGTTGCCTAATAATTATGCACAGTAATAGTCACCTGCACACACAGATATCCCCCTAAAATAGCTAAAACTAAAAACAAACTAAAAACTACTTCCAAAAACATTCAGCTTTGATATTAATGAGTTTTTTGGGTTCATTGAGAACATGGTTGTTGTTCAATAATAAAATTATTCCTCAAAAATACAACTTGCCTAATAATTCTGCACTCCCTGTAATGTCCTTACAATGATAATCCTCAGAATCACCTCAGATCCAGCTCATACAAAAACTAATTTCTGCCTCTTTTTTTTTTTACAGCTCAGATTGATAACGAAGCAGAGACATTTAAGAGAATCAGGACTTCGTTTATCTTTGGTCACGTGATATTCAGAAGAACAATAAGGACCGCAACACGGGCTTCATTTGGATATGCCCCCTTTACTTAATACTGGGACATATCACTGACAGACGTTTCTCCCGTGAATAAACCAGTGTAATTTAAACAGTACTCTCCACTGAGGTGATCATTCTGCTAGATCATGATAGTATTTTTGAAGACCTGGAATATAAATGAGCTTGCCTCTAAAGGACATTGAATCAGCTTCTGTTGCTTAAATGTGCTTTAAGTAAAATAGATGCTTCAGTTAACACAAAAATGTCATTTTATAGTGCATGCTTGAGGGACATTTTTATGAAATAATAATAACATGATAGCATTGATTCACTGTTACTACTATTATCAAGAGTTGGTGTAACTGTCCCTGAGACAGTTAAAATAAAGTTGGTTATTTCATGTTTCTGTGATAGATTCATGCTCAATTTAGTTCTTTTATTTACAAGATAAGATGATAAAAGTGTAACATTAATTAAAAAACATGTCTAAAATATGTGATTACAAAATATGGGTTTGTTAAATATGTAAAGTGCTGTAAAGTTTGTATGAGGTAAAGTTTGTAATTGTCACATGACCAGAGTTTGGTTGAGAGCACAATCACGGCATTGTGGAGCTAGCATGGATACGTGGCTACAGATGCATCTACAGCCTCAGCGTTAATGTTATTCTGCATGTGGTCCAAGAGGCGCACACGGTATGGTTCCATGTATATTGTTTGTATAATGTTGCATACGTGTTCTACAGTGGTAATGAGAGGACATTTTTGTGATATCCATTATTGTGCATTTTCTCTGTTCTGCTTGCACAAGACTGTTTATGGACACTGATATGAGAGACTGAAAAGCTCAAAACATTTATGTTGTAAACTTTGTGTTTCTTCAGTTTTCACGGTGTCTGAAGACAATAAGAGTGAGAGAGAGAGAGAAATAAATTTCCGAAGACATCAGTATGATGCGTGGCCATTCTTTGTTGGACCCCTGTAGTTACAGTGAAAACGTACCGCCAACGTGGCTGGAAGTTCGACGTTAGAAGCAATGCATGTTCCAGAATAAGAAAAGAAGAAACGTTCTTGACAGCGCAGTGTGTGTGGTTCGAGAACACAGCGGAAAAGAGGCTTGCAAACTTAAAAAGAGGAAACACCATTATTGGCGCTTTGGACGGCAACGACCACGACTTCACCAATAGAGGGCGACATTGACCATCATAAACTACAGCTCTGCAAATCTCTGCCGCTGCACACAGCAAGAACTGTAAAATCCCTGGCGGTCTTCAAGGAAAAGATAACGGCTCTTCAGTCAGCGCCAGGTTGGGCTGTGATATATCCACAACTTCATGGAGAGGTTTGGAGTTTGGAGAGGTCTATTAAAATAATAATTTATTTTGTTTAAGAAAGGTACTGAGTTAAAGGTAACCAACCTGTCATTATAGCCAAAGTGTTCCCTTTTATTTTACAAGTGGTTTTGTTTAAGTATTAGTATTTAGTATTTATTTATTTATTGTCATTGTCAAGAACAATGAAATTGCGTTTGGGGCTTCCATACAACCCCCCAAAAAGAAGAAAATAATAAATACCCCTTAAAACCCAAGTGTACATATTTAACCCAGTGTGACTCCAATGCAATAAGACAATCCTTAGCAATAATGTTCGTAGAAATTCAGACAAAGACCTGAGAAACATGACAAAATACAACAATGCAACCCATTCAATATTATTGTACTGTGAGATATGATATCAGATATGATAGTTATCTATTTAAGAAAGAGGGGGGGGGCAGGAGGGGAAGAGAATAAAGATATGATGCACCAATGCAGACCAGTTCATTGCTATTAAGAAGTTGGATATGGTTATTGTCCGTGAGAGGGGGGCAGAGAGTTCAGGAGCCTCACAGCCTGTGGATACAGGCTG